CAGATGGCAGGGTGATTCTATTTTTGGATTAAAAAGAAAATATATGGTAGCAAGTCCATGAAAAAAGTCGGGGGGGATTTTTAAAAAAATAAACTCATGGGAATGCAGAGGATGATAATGTTGATAATGATCATAAGCAAAACAAAACAATGATAATAGTAAGTAATTTATTGGACATTTAATATGTGCCATGTGGTACTCCAGGCCCTCTGCATATATTAACTTCTTCATCTGCATAGCCATCTCATGAGCTGTGTATTGTTTTTTCTCTCATTTTATAACTAACGAAACTGATGTTTAAAGAAGGTGAATAACTTGCTCATGGTCACACCGGCAATATATGGCAGAGCTAAGACTTGATCCAGGAAGTCTAATTCCAGAACTTTAGCTACCATGTGATACTAAATAACATGAAATAGCATCAATCAGCTGAGTATGGTGGTACATACTGGTAACCCCAGCAACTTGGGAGGCTGAGGGAGGAGGGTCACCATTTGGAAGCCAGCCTTAGCAACAAGGTGACATAGTGACATCCTTTGCAACTTAGCAAGACCTTGTCTCAAAGTAAAAAATAAAAAGGGTGGAGAAGTAGCTTAGTGTTAAAGCACCAGTACCAAAAGAAAAAAGAAATGTCAATAATAGAATATAACACCTATCCTGGTATCCTAGTTTGATACTAGGGAAATGCCTAGTGCCGGAAGAGGGAAACAGCTCTAGGTGGAGTCTTAAGAAGAAAATGATGAAGATAGTCTCGAGGGGATACCAGACCCAAACAGGCCCCATACACTGGGCGGGATTTTAATGCCCACAAGGAAACAGGGTACAGGAACCTGGATCTGCAGGAAGCTTGGATGGAAATTCCCTATTATAGCTGGGGGTCCTGAAGCTTTGGCTTCTGTGTGAAAGGGACCAGAAAACCTGCCCAACAATCCAGAAAGCTAACAGGCAATGGTAGAGTCAGTCAGTGGATAAAAGCAAGTAGTCATCCAGGTACCCAACCCAAGAGCTTGTTGGGAAACTGCAAAACACAGGGTTAAAATGATTCAAGGGCTGAGGTACAGCTCGGTTGTAGAGTACTTGCCTAGCAGGAGCGAGGTCCCAGGTTCCATTCTCAGCAGTTAGCAGCAACATCAAAAATAAAGTAAAATTATTAGAGGCAAAAAAAAAAAAAGAACAAAGAACATTGAAAGATAGGATGATACTGGGAATCAAGAGAATTTTTTTTCTTTTAATAACATTTTCTATATTTTTTGGTTTTTTGGTACCAGGGATTGAGCTCAGGGGGACTCAACCACAAAGCCACATCCTCAGCCCTATTTTATATTTTGTTTAGAGACAGGGTCTCACTGAGTTGCTTAGGGCCTCGCCATTGCTGAGGCTGGCTTTGAACTCGGGATCCTCCTGCCTCAGCTTCCGGAGCATAGGGGTGTGTGTCACTGCGCCTGGCCAAAAAGTCGATTTTAAAAAGAAAAACTAGGACTTTACAAAATGAAGGAAACTAAGATGAAAATGTGACCAATAAGAAAAAGGAAGATGAAAGGAGAAATAACAGTGTCCCCGAAGAAGGAGCTACATGATTCAACCAGAGGACATGGCGGGCATGGGGACTATACCCAGAGGTTAAACAGATGGAAAAAGAGCAGATGTTAAGAAACATGGAAGACAGAATCATGAGGCCCAATGTGTGTTTAACAGGAGTTCCAGGTAGAAGAAATGCTGTCGGAAGAGACACAGTGTTTGGAGAGAGTGGGTGAAGATTTTTTCCAAAACAAAGAAAGATGTGCAGAGGCACACCAACTTGGGAGTAGAGTAAGACTGAACTCACTCCTAAAGACATGGGGGCAATACTGAAGCCCATCAAAGAAAAATAGACCTGAAAAAAGATACACAATAGAATATTATACTGGATACTACTGATTTATAATTCATAGTATAAGTTATTATTAATTTCTGCTGAGACCCAATAAGGTCAATAACAAAGTAATAGAAAGCATCTCTTCTTCATGACAAGAGAGGCGCCCACCCACCCCGGTAGGATGTGGAGTGTAGCGCTAAAGACACTTTGAGAATATGAAGCTGTGAGTTCAAGAATCCAGGAAAGGATTCCTTAGGAAAAATTCAAGGCATTTTCCATATTCTCACCTATATATGTGTGGAGGGGGAGGGGTTGGGGTGGTCACAGTGTACTCATTTCATGACGACTAAAAGGGACCTGGAGAAGATCACTTAGAGAACCTGATACTGTGCCCTAGAATTTGAAAAAGTACAGGGATTAATTCCACCCCCTGCGCCCTGCCCTTAACTGCAGTCTCCAGAAGCCTCAGTGTAACCACTTGTAGGGGCCAGGAAAGGCAAGAGGCAAGAGTGGAAATTGGAATCCATCTCCATTTGGCTTGGAAAAATATATATCTTTCCTAGGGCTAAATAGACACTGCGGATTCTTGAACAGGGGCCATCTTGAAGGGAGCCTGCCCAAGAAGGAGGCTTGCCAACATGAAAGGCAGCCAGCAGGGACACAGGAAGCCACCACAGAGGAGAGGGGCAGCCGAGAGGGCGGGCTACGGGAGTGACTAGGGTATTGCCCCTGTTGAAACTGCCATGTGCATCCTCACTTGGGACAAGAGCGCCACATTGCTCCTATGTGGAAGAACCAGCACTAAAATCCACAAATTCTAGAAAGCCTCAGGCCAGACCATATCCACAAAGTAAGGCGGTTTTGCCCGACCCTTCTTTCCCGGGAAACTAGCTCTGCGGCCCTGCCCCCACTCCATTCCCAGGATCTAGGAATCAGCTTGGTCAAGGGCTGAGGTGAGCCTTAGAGGGGCAGAGGACATGTAGCTGCCCCTCCCTTCCCTCTGCAAGCCTCTACTGTGAAGCAGGCCCCGGTGGAAGGACTTATTAGGCACAAGGAAGAATGTTCCATTTACTAAAATGAATCTTTTTATTTTACAAATTAAAAATAGTCACATTGCTTCCAACATTACCCTGGAAGATCTAGTTACTGCAATCAGAAAAGAAAGGCATGCAGGTTAGGAAGGAAGAAATTAAACTTTCTACACACAGACACAATGATCTGTGTGGAAAATATGAAAGACCTGACCAAAAACCCCTCCTGGAAATAATAATTGATTATGGCAAGTTTGCAGGATACAAAGTTAATAAGCAAAAGTCAATCACCTTCCTGTATATCAGTAGTGGACATTTGGAATTTGAAATAGAAACATAGTTCCATTTACCTTAAGGACCCCTAAAATAGAATATTTAAGTATAACTTGAACAAAATATATGAGGAAAATACAAAATTCTGATCCAAGTCATCAAAGTATTTTCAACAGACAATGCAAGAACAACTGCATGTCCACATGTAAAAAATAAAATATGGATACCTCACCCCACCACACATCAACCTACTGAAAATAAATCACAGACCTAAAGGCAAAAAAGTAAAACTATAAAACTCCTTGAAGATGACATAGGAGAGAAACCACATGACTTTGGGTGTGGGGATGATTTCTTTTAAAATTCGATATCAGAGCATGGACCACAAGAAGAATTTAGTAATTTAGTAAGTTTAATTGGTTAGGTTTTATTGAAATTAAAAACAGCTCCATGAAAGACAATGTCAAAAGAATAAGAAGAAAACCCATAGACCAGGAGAAAATATTTGCAAAACACACATGTGAAAAAAAAGCTTTAATCCAAAATATACAAAGAACTCTTAAAACTCAACAAGAATATGGCTCCATTAGAAAACGGATCAAGGAGCTTATCAGACAGACACCTCATCAAAGAACACATACACTGGAAAATAAGCATATGAAAAGATGTTCCTCACCCTCTCTCACCAGGAAATTCAGATTAAAACAGGAATGGCCCCAACCTAGGACATGGCCAGAACCCACTGACACAAAATGGTGCAGACACTTTAGAAGTCCGGTTTTTTATTTATGTTAAGGTCTGTAAACAAGTCAAAATAACACCTGGTATTTTGCCAGGGGAATGTTAGAGTTCGTAAACAAGTCTGGATGGTGCCTGGCAAAATGCCAGAGGGAGTGGTTTGAGAAGTAACAAAAGCGAGCCATTAAGTGTGGAGATTCCTTATTGGTTGACTGATGTATCTAGTTTATGCTAATTAAGATAAGCTGTGCAAAATGTATAAATACCCCTCCTGTCCTACAATAAACGGCTCCTACTCCTGCTTTATCAACGTACACAGTTGTTCATCCCCCCCCCCCCCTGGTTATTTTGCTGCAGCCGGACTGCGGCATATTTAACCTTTATTTTACTTATTTATTTCTATGAGATGCTGAGGATTGAACCCAGGGCCTTGCTGAGCCACAATCCCAGCCCCAGTTTTGTTGTTTTTGACAAAACTAAAAGAACTTTCCCCGTACAATCCAGTCGTCTTGCTTCTTGGTATTTACCCAAAGGAAATGCAAATTTATATTCATCCCAAAACCTGCACATGGATGTTTATGGTAGCCTATTCACCACGGCCAAAGCCTGAAAGCAGCTGAGATGTCCTTCAGAAGTTGGGTGGACAGGCTCTGGTACATGGAGACAATGAAATGTCTTTCAGTACTAAACAAGAAATGAGCCTGAGCCTGGAAAAGACATGGACAGAGCAGGGCTTCTCAGTAGGTGAAGGGAGCTAGTCTGAAAAGCCTCAGACTGTATGTGCATTGTAACTCCGCGGCATTCTTGAAAAGGCAAAACTGTGGAGACGACAAAATGATGAGCAGTCATCAGGGTTAGGTAGAGGGTTAGATAGGCCCAGCAGAGAGGATTTTTAGGATAGTGAAACTGTTCCATGTGCTGCCATCATGGTGGGTATGCATCATATAATTGTTTTTTTTTTTTTGTCCATTTCTTTTAAGCTAACATAGGTCAAGCGTGGATTAATCAAAAGACCATGGGACCCCCAAGCTGGTGACTAGAGGGAGGGCTCCTTAGGAAATGGAAATTCCATGGTTCTAAGATGGCTCTTGTTTTTCCAACAGGAAATGGTTTTGTAGGTGAAAGAAGAGCGTTTGAACCTGTAAGAGGAAGCACTGAGGATCATCAGCAGGGTGTTATGCTTTGCATCTAAGAAAGTCCTAGGAGATGTAAGTCACACAATGAACAATGGCCCGGTTCTGAAGACTGCCTTTCAGGGCGCTGCTTGCCATGTCTGAGGTCTTGAGGGTGCTGGGTGTCTGCTTGGTATTACTGGGTTTGCATTCTGCAGTATCTGGAAAGGAGTCAACATTCTGCATGGCTTTAAGTCATGGGAGCAGAATTTCTCAAAAACTGGTAAAGAAGCATTATTAGAGAAACAGCATGAGCATGTTGGTACCAGGTTTTGCTGACTCTCTGGATTCTCCTCTATGGACCATAATGAATATTATTTTCCACCCTTATCTTCCTCTTTATGTTCTCCTTTTATTTTCCAAAAATATTTGTGAATCATTATCTATTTTAAATTTGTACAAGCAATTCTTGAAGCATAAGTCTTCCTTTCCTTTCCTCTCCAGCATCATATAATTGTTCAAACCTGTTCAACACAAAACACAAGCGTGAACCTAACGATAAGCTAGAACTGTGGTTATAATGATGCAGGTTCTTCCATCATCACCAACGTGCCATTGAAGTGGGGGACATGTGCTGGTGCGGGGCGGGAAGCATATGGGCAATCTCTGTGTCTTTGTTCAATTTTTCTGTAAAAATTGTTCTAACATATAAAGTCCATTTTGAAAAATTACCAGGTAATTTTATGAATTGATAATGATGAGTAAAATTATGGTACATTTACTAGATTCCCTCCAACAGAATGGAAATGCCAGCTCTCCAGGGGACATGGAATGAGCAGGAGGAGATCAGTGAAGCAATCTGCTGTACCCTGTCACTCTGCTCTCCCAACATACTCATGATGGAGCTGTTCTCTGCAAAGGTATGACAATGACACTAATCTGTAGATTTTTCATCAGCATAAATAGAAGCTCAAAGGTGGGGGGAGCAATGTAATTCTGTGCCTAACTAAAACTAAACTAAGTCCTTCCTCATCTGAATCATTCAAGACGAGAGCTGGAATGAAAGTGTGATCACACACACACACACACACACACACACACACACACACACAATTTATTCACAAGAGCCTCGATAACTACTAAAAGATATATGTAAGTAAGAAGAAATTGGACTGCAAAAGGGAAAGGGATGAAAGGAGAAACTAGCAAAGAAAGCAAGATGAAAACAACATACTAGACAACAATGTGGAAAAAATCTTTGTGTATTTTTGAAGGAGTACAGATATTAACCTTAATAGCAGCCATATGTTGTTTTATGATGGAGTCTGGTTCTGATAAAGGCATTGCTGGTGCTTTGAGGTTTGTGCAAACATCGTAGCGTGCACTTACATGAAGCTTAGTGGCCCAGGTCAGTCACTTGATGTTGCCTCCTGATGCCATCAGGAGGCTGGGCAAGCACGAGATGTGTGGAGCTGCTGCTGCTGCCGCCACCCAGCTCACTGTTTTACAGTGAGCATTGTTTATGAGCAGAAGGAGCACACGCTAAGATGATGATGTAAGTACCATGTGGTAAGCACAGAAGCAAGCCACAGTCATTTGTCATCTTTATCGAGTATGAGGTGCTGTGTGTAATTGTGTTGCTGTGCTTTCACATGACTGGCAGCACAGGAGGTTGGTCTGCACAAGCATCACACAAACACATGAGAAATGGGCTTTGCTGAGACATTACCCTGGCTACGTCTTCACTAGGTGTTAGGAATTTCCGAGCTCCATTATAATCTTAGGGAGCTACCAGGGTGTATGTGGCCAGTCCTTAACTGAAATGTTGTCAGGCTATAACACCTGGCCACAATTAACTCATTGTTAGCTGCTACTGTGTCCTATTTCATCAAATGCTGCTTAAGTGGTATTCTATTTACATATGTTTACTTTTTCTCACTTTTTTAGTAGATACTTATATCACTGATTTTCAGTCTTTACTTTTCTATTAAGTCCATCTAATATTATGAACTTCCTCTAAATTTCATCTTAGGCTTATACTAGAAATTGTATGTATTTGTGTATGCACTTCTTGACAAATTTCAGTTAGGGATATATGTCTAATTTATGCTTGATTTATTTTTTTTTTTGGCTGATGAATTAAAGATCACTCTTTCATTTCTTTATCTTAAATACACAGTGGGGATGAGGAATGTTTGTTTTTTTTTTTTTCTAGAATGTATTTTTAATGCACTGTGATCAGACATTTGCCGCAGTCTGGCTGGGCACAATTCAGAAGCCACTTGTCAAAAGAAACGAACTTTATTTTTAGAACCACAAACGCCAAACAAAACAGCTCCTCAGGAAAAACCCTCAGAGCCCAACTGCCACCACTGGCTTCCACAAGCCTCTGTCTACCACCAGCCTCTCCATGAGGCCAACTGGCTGGGTCTCATGGGTGGAGCCAAAAAAGTCCCCCAATGAGCAGCTCCGTGGTCTGAAAGGGCAGGGAAACAGCCCAATGAGCATCACCGCAGAGGAGCCAATCAGCTAGATGTTGCTGGGCCGCTGTGAGCCAATCATCAGCTGGCAGTCTGAAAGTTTGCTGGGGCCCCTTCAGCTGTGGCTCTCAACATCTCCCCCTCTCTGTTTAAACAACAAGCATGTGGCTTAGGGACTGTGCCTGCCTTAGGTTGTCCAATAGTACAGACATTGTTTTATATTAATTCTTTGGTTGTTGAGACTTCTTTTATAGCCTAGGATTTTTTTTTTTAATCTCTATGTGTGTTTCGTGGAAAAATAAGATTATGTACCCCATTTGTATCAAATGTATGATATGTCAAGATCATTGTAATGTTTTGAGCAACTAATAAAAAAATTTAAAAAAACTCTATGTATCTTTGAAAGGAATCTCTACTGTCTCTTAGCTGAATTTAGGATTTGTGTGTGCATGCATGTGGGGAGGGGCACATGTTTAATGGGTGTGAATGCACTTACTTAGAAGGTAGTTCAGCTTTGGTAGACATGCCCAGCAATTTTCCAGTGATTGTTTTAATTTCCCCTCCCAATAGCTGGGCACGAGGGTTCCAATAGCTCTGCATCCTCACTAACACTGTGGAAGCCAGTCTTTTATAACCTAATAAAAGCAATTTAGGATTTGCTGTTGTGAAAAACGGCCATAGATGTTTAAATGAAAGGGCGTGGCTGTGTTCTAAAACCTTTTTATTTACAAAGTTGGTTTCAGCCTGATTTTGCTTAGGGGCTGGGGCCTGCAGACCAGGGGCCAAGGTGCTCCTGGCACTAATATTCTGCTAACCTGTCTTTTGTTCACCTAGTCTCTTGTCATCTTTTGGATAGACAGACAGATGAGAGACAGATATACATATATTTTTTCTGAATCACTTGAATTAAACTGTCTGCTCTGGGACAAAGGGAAATTCAATGTTACAAGTGTTCAATATGAAGAGTTAGAAAAATTATGAGAGTAAACATGTATTATTAATCTTTTAATCTATTTTCCATACTGGTGGGTGGATTGAGGTAGCTCTTTATGACTTCAAATCACGTTTTCCAGAATACTCTTTTCCATTAGTTTATTGGCCACTGTATATTCTCTTTGCTCAGTTCTTCATCTATTTTTACTCATTTTCCTAAGGGTTTGACTTTTCCTTATTGATTGGCTGGAATGTTTATCGGTGTCGCATTGCTACACATTGTTGGCTTAAGATTGCACTTATTCTTTTGCTGTTTGCCTGGGTCAAGCATCTGGGTGCAGTTTTGCTAGCTGCCTCTGGCTGATTAGAAGGTTGTAGTCAAGTCCTGGGCCAGAGCTATATTCATCCCAAAGCTTGACTGGGGTGGAAAGATGGCTTCCAAGCTCATTCATGGTTGGCAGACTGCAGTTCCTGAGAGGCCACTGGACTGAGGGCCTTGGCTCCTCCCCACACCATGTGACCTCTGTTTAGGAGACAGAGACAGATGGAAAAGTTAAGGGAGTGGGAGATGCTCCAGTGGTGGAGGGCTTGCCTAGTGTGCCTGGAGGGTTCCATCCCTAGCACTGAAGAAAGAAAGAAAAACTAAGTTGAATTCTTTCACTATGATTGTGGCTCTATCTATTTTTCCTTCATTTTAAAATCTATTTTTTTGAAAGTATTATCAAAATTCTCATTGGCTCGCACGCACGCACGCACGCACGTTCATTCTCCGTCCTCCTGCCCCTTTTCCAAATACAGATATTGTTGAGAGCCACAGCCGAGTTGGGATGGCACCTGGCATTGCCAGAAGGAGTGGTTGAGAGGTGACGGGCAGCGAGCCATTAAGATGATGATAATTAAGTTAAGCTGTGTATAATTGCTGTGACTGGATGATGCTGGATTGGGGCAGGCTGTGTATTCAGTTGCTGTCCAGCAATAGGGGGGCTCCTGCTGCCTCGGGCGCCCGCTACTTTTGAGTTCCCATTGAGTTCCCGCAGAGTTCGGAGCCTGGTGGAGAGCTGAGGGAGTTCCTGGGTGAGAGTACGGGTGAGAGTTTGGGCAAAAAAGTAGTTCCTGTTTGAACCTACAAGTGCCTCATGGCGGCTCAGTTATTTTGTGCCCAGCCAGACTGCAGCAGATATGTTTGGATTATATTTTCCATTTTATCATTTATTTTCTATTTATCCTTTATTGGTCCTATGCTGTCCACGCTCTCATTTCGTGTATTCTTTGATATTCATCATCTATTTCTTTTGTCTTTCTATTCTCCACTATTTACCACCCACAGGTAGGTTAGATCTTTGTCTTTTTACTAGTGGTTACTTATAGAGCACATTCTTGACTCCTTCAAATCTAATATAAAATAATACTTTTACCTTTTTCATGGAAAATAACAGAACTTTAGAGCACATTAACTCCATCTATCCACTTCTGCCGTTTGTGTTTTGATTGTCATGCACTTAAATTCTATATATTTGAACCCTGTAAAATATTATTAGCTCTGTACAGTCAATGTTTGTATGAATTTACACATTTCTGTTGCTTTTCATTTCTTCCTGCATGTATGTGCGACCATTTCCCTTCCACTTGAAAAACTTCCTGTAGTGTTTGTTTTATAATGGCATTAATAGTGACAAATATCTCCATTTGTGTTGATGTGGAAGTGTGTTGATTTCACTTACTTTTGAAAAAAAAATTGTCAAATATAAAACGAGGTTAACAGTTATTTCCTTTCATTGCTTGAAAAACGTCATTCATTTTCATTACTTGAAAGCTTTCTATTGTCTTCTGGCTTTCAACATTTCTAGTGCATCTCATTATTCTTTTTTTATCATTTTTCTTTTTCTCTCCCACTGAGAACAAATATGGGAAAAAAATCTGCTTGAAGATGTAAGAGTTATCAAGACGTTGGAGAATTATAGGGTCAAGATCTAGAAGAAAAAAGAAACACAGACAGCTGAGCTCAGTATTTGTGGCTGCTTTCTCTTGGAGATATGTGTTGATTTCAGAAGAGACAGGAAAGAATCTGAGAAGAGTTATATACTGACTCATGAATCCTGGAGGACCAAAAGGAGAACTACGGACTGGCAAGGGTGGTAACTCTCCCCTAAGACTTTGGATTGGAATCATGAAGAACTACATCTTAGAAGGAAGGGTGAATCAGAAATAGACCACTTTTGAATCATCTCATCTTTGATCAGATTAAGGTGATCTGGGATTGCTAATGCCATAGCCTAGCCTGTTAGCAACAAATATAAATCTCCTTGGAGGAATATAACATCATACAAAACCTAAAATTATCTTAGCTATCTTCACATGTAATGTTCCATGTGTAATTAAAATTAACCTGTCACAAGAGGAGAATACAGACCATGGCCAAACAACAAAGACTCAAAAGAAATAATAATAAAATAGAAATAAATCTACATATTATACCAAATCAGATAAGGTTAAAAATGATCAGGAAATTTCTAAAAAGCCAATGAAATTTTTCACATATGACTGGAAAACATAAAAATGTACCTGATAATAATTTCAGAAGTA